TTTATATCAATACCTCTTATGTTTCCATAATTTCCGAACCGTTGCTCTGAATGTCAATTCAATTCAATCATTAAATTTGTACTCAACTTTCAAATGCTATTATGTCGTGAGAAACCAATTTCTCTATCAATTGTTTGGTCTTTTGAACTTTAATTTAGTAATTAAACAATGAGGCCCACCCTTATTACTGTTAGACTAGAAGCAATGTAGTGAGTATTAGGTGCATAGAGTACACCCGACTATATCAACTGTGGCCACAAATTTCACAAACTGTGCCCACAATCACCTTTATATGAGACATTTAAGTCTTCTATGAGATGGCAAATGAGTATCTATTATATTAGTACAGTATTAGTTAATCATAGTATTACTATAACCATAATTACTAATCACTAATATCCGATTAAGTCATCTCCGTCTTAGTTCCAAGAAGTTATCTCTTGGATCAGTGTCTGGTGACCGGACAAACCCCATTCACGCCTACCCTCCTAACCCCGATCACATAGAAAAGAGGAAAATCTCCCAAAACTTTGAGACCTAGAATAAGTGAAAGTCAACCTAAGGTTTGCAATGATTTTATTGAATATACAAAATGATGACAATTTATGACAAATAATGAGATTTGTTGCGAAACTCGATTTCATATGAAATGTGAAAATGAAATAAATGAAAGACTTGTCTTTACAAAGAGTTAATTGTATGGAAAATACGAACCGATTTCAGGACAGGAGGCGCTCTTATAGTCGATGGGAGCGACAAATATACGCGATATCTCTCCGGACCGGGAGGTGGTGTCCCCCCACTTCTTCTGGTCACTTGCGCACGAGTTGGAGGCCATCATAGACTCACCGCTACTACTAATACCGGCGCCACTAATCCGATGCACAGAACCTGTGGGACCGGACTGTCGGTGGTATGGGTTTAGGCTTACATTCATTTAACACAAACTTCTGGTGACCACTGGTTTGGGTCAACACTTATGGGTTGGCTATTGGTTTGGATGGTTGGGTGCGACCGACGGTTCGGTCAATACTTTTTGGATATTATTTATGACTAAAGACTTAGAGAGAGGTCTCTATTGTCTCTCTCTTTGGGACCAAAACGGGTTAAGACTCGGAGTTTAAGTGACAGATATAGTGGGGGTTTGGCTGCTTTTGGGACCTCCTTTTGGATCACTTCTTACGATATATTAAGATATTAAACACCTATTAATCCAATAATTAGTGGTTATATTAGATGGCATTTAATC